ATGTTTATTTGTTCATAGTTTGTAATGAGGGGTCCGTGACCCGTCAAAACCGCGGTAGAATAAAGCACGCCCGACGAAAGCGCGTACGTGACGTCAGCAGCGCGATGAAAAAAATTAAAAATAAATTAAAATTAAATAAAATTAAAGCAAGCCGATTCACATAAAGGTAAGGGTTAGGTTTAGGGTTACGTTAAGGGTTAGGATTAGGTTTAGGATTAGGTTCAGGGTTAGCATTAGGTTTAGCGTTAGGTTAAGGGTTAGGGTTAGGTTAAGGGTTAGGGATAGGGTTAGGGTTAGGTTTGGGGGGGGGTTAGGGTAAGGTTTTCGCTTTAATTTTAAATTTACCACTCACAGCACGATGTTTTCGTCGCGCTGTGATGACGTCACGTACGCCCTTTCGTCGAGCGCGCTTTTGTCAACCGCGGTTTTGTGGTGGAACCTAAATATCGGGTGTTTGTCTCTAATTGGGTTCTCTGTCTGCTGTCTTTTGCAGGTGTGATGAAAACTGGAGCGGGTTATACTGCGACGAGCCAGATGTGTTCCTCCCCACACAGCTGAAAGACAATTTCAACCGTGCCCCAACCAGCCAGAACTGGCTAACTGTCAACGGGGGGAAACTGAGCACCGTCTGCGGTGCGGTGGCTTCTGGGATGGTTCTTCATTTTAGCGGGGTTAGTATTTGGATTTTCGGGCATGTTGTTCATCTCCAGCAGGTCATTTCTGGTGACTCCCTCCCCCCCCCCCCGCGCTGCCTTTTCTTTCTTGGGTTGATGTTTCTGGAACTCTCTTCGCCTTGCTGTCAATATGATGATTTCCTGGACATGGTGTGTGCATAGAAAAGCAAAATATTTTGAAATATTTCTTTAAAATATTTCTTTTTCTTCTTATTTCTTTAAAGAGAAGAAAGAAAGCCTTAAGATATTAACCCAGCCTAATTGAAAAATAACGATTCAAGCTTGCAAACCTCTTGGGCTGTGTTGAATAGGACTATAAACTCTTAAGTTGTTTTCATAGAGAGAGCCAGTTTGGCCTAGTGGTTAAGGCACTAGGATGAAAAGCAGGAGATGAGTTCTAGTCACACCTTAGGCATGAAAGCCACCTGGATGACTTTGGGCCAATCACCAGGAGACTGTGAGATCTAGTTCCTCCTAAGTCATGAAAGCCACCTGGATGGCTTTGGGCCAATCACCAGGAGACTGCGAATTCTAGTCCCACCTTAACCAAGAAACCCAGCTGGAGGACTTTTGGCCAATCATTAGGAGACTGTGAGTTCTAGTCCCACATTAGCCAAGAAAACCAGTGGATGACTTTAGGCCAATCACCAGGAGACNCCCAGTCACATGGCCAGCAAGCCACTCCCACAAAGCAGGCCACACCTACAGAAGAGGTTCTAAAAAATTTTTTGAAACTCACCACTGGTTTAGAACCTTTGTGGCTCTTTGAATGTTTAAGGTTGCCGACCCCTGATCCAAGTTGTAAGGGTCCCAGAATCCCTCCACTCTCATTTGGTTAAGGAAAAACTTGAAACCTTTCCTTTACTCACAGCTCTTGACTTAAAATATCAGAAAAAGATTGTTTTATCTATAAGATAGTGATGGGCAAAAAAAAAAAAAAAATGGAAGTCAGATATTAAAAATCAAGCCAGAAACTGGGGGAAAAAAACTATCCAAAGTGCCAGTGAAAAATATTTTATTATGTAAAAACCCAACACATTTTTGATAACATCTTTTATCCAGGGCACCGTGCGAGCCAGCTAAAACCTGTTAGATTGATGTCACTAGAGAGGATCATTGTGTGCCAAGTTTAATATTTTATATTTAGTGGTATAATTTACAAATCTGGCAAAAAAGAAAAAAGAAAGAAATAGCTTGGGAAGTTGCCATTTTGTGGTTTCTTATTATTATGACTCGGCGAGCTATCCCTGCAGTCTTGTTTTAAATCACAGTTCCGAAAATATTTCCAAAAAAAACCCAAAACCAGTTCCGTTGAAGAGTGTTTATTGTATTCTGCTCTACAGCTGATGCTTTTACTGCGTGGATTTTCAAATCTGGCCTCCGACTTCAATTTTTGAAATCTGCCGTACCATATTCACGTTGTTGTTTTTTTCTGAAGGCCTTTAATTTAGCTTCTTGTATAATTGTCACTTCCAACAGCTCATCTGCTGTTGGAAGTGGAATTAACTTTATTTGCCAATTTTATGTGTATGTGTGTGTGTACATAAAGCTTACGAAGTCCTGGCAACGTTGCTTTCTTCTCTCTTAACCACCTGCAACCGACTGATAATTCCATAATTTTCTTAATTTCCACACCGTGTCTTCTACCAGCTCATCACGACCTGGAGCTTGGAAGCCCCCAAAGTAGCACTGCCTAGTAGTTACTTCAAAAGTATGATTTCACAAAACAAGGAGCGGAAATTTTGTCGTTGCGCTTTTGTCAAAAATCAATTAGTGATTTCGACGTCGCGGTTTTGTCACCACGGTTTTGTCTTATCGCGCAATTGTCGGTGAACCATTAAAAACAGCAGGCTGGATTGTACAGGGTCATCAGTTGGGCCTCTCCAAATATTATTTCTTCTTTGCATTAAAGCCAAGAACCTTTCGGTGGAACAGTTTTGAACCAAACTTTGAACCAAGTTACTACCTATTCGGCCAAACCGGGTCGAACCGGTTGGAGCCCACCTCTGAGATTCGAGGAAGCCAACACTGTCGATGAAACTCATTCATCTTGCTGAAACCCTTAAATATCCGTGACCCGTCAAAACCGCGGTAGACAAAAGCGCGCTCGACGAAAGCGCGTACCTGACGTCATCAGCAGCGTGACGAAAAAAAAATAAAAATAAATTACATTGAAATTAAAATAAAATTAAAGCAAGCTGATTCACATAAAGGTAAGGGTTAGGTTTAGGTTTAGGGTTAGGGTTAGGGTTAGGG